ATGCCTTAATCTTAATTTTGCTTCATAAAATTTTATTTAATAAGCTGTCAACTCTGTGTGTTTATATACAAAGGTGAGGACATCATTGGCTTTTTGATATGTGAAAAATGCATAAATTAAAAAATGACGTATTTATGAACACAAAAAGGACATCCTACATAACAATTTAACAAATGCACAGGCCATACACAAAAATAAATTCGACCGCAATTTTTATGCAGAAAATGGCAGACTCATCAAAAGAGAAAGTAATTTACTCAGAAGAAAAACTCCCGAGAGTGACGCCATCGAATCTTATCTAAATATAAATCTATGCCCCGATTTTTTTTCAATTTTACCTTTCCTGAAATAATTCTTACTTTCCCAAGCCAACATACACAACGGCCAATATGTTGAAAAATCAAGATAAACCAATGACATCCTGGAATTTGTATATAAGCACGTGCAGCATAATAGATACTATATTGCAGTGATAAAGACTCTTAGAGGACGCAACGTGTTTTTTCTCTCGTCTCTTATAAACTTTTTCTTTTCCTTCCCTAACACATATTTATTTCGTTGTTCTGTTTTTCATTCTCTATTTCCTTCACTTTTTTTTAATTCTCTATCGTCTTTTAATTTTTATCGTTTTTTTTTTCTATGTCAATTATCTTACTTCTCACGTTTTATCTTTCCTTCCAAATTTTCTTCGCAAATACTCTTTATTTTTTTTCTTCTTATTTATTTCTCTCTAACATTATATCCCCTTAATTCTAATCTATTCATCAGCTTTCAGGTTCATCTTTATAACTACTTCATATTTTGTTTCTATTTATCTTTTATTTTGTATTTGTTTTCATTGATTCTTTTTTCTTTCTTACTTTCTTTCTTTCTTCCTGCCTCCTTTCCTTCATTTCTATATTCTTTCTTTTTTCCTTCTTTTTTCTTTCTTTCCTTCTTTCTTTCTTTCGTTCTTTCGTTCTTTCGTGTTTTTTCTTTCTTTCTTGCTTTCTTTCCTTCCTTCCTTCGGTCCTTTCCATCTTTCTTTCTTTCCTTCTTTCTTCCCTTCTTTTTTCTTTCTTTCTTTCTTTCTTTCTATATTCTTTCTTTTTTCCTTCTTTTTTCTTTCTTTCCTTCTTTATTTCTTTCTTTCTTTCCTTCTTTCGTTCTTTCGTGTTTTTCTTTCTTTCTTTCTTTCTTTCTTTTTTCCTTCCTTCGTTCCTTTTCCATCTTTCTTTCTTTCTTTCCTTTCTTTCTTCCTTCTTTTTTTTCTTTCTTTCTTTCTTTCTTTCTTTCTATATTCTTTCTTTTTTCCTTCTTTTTTCTTTCTTTCCTTCTTTATTTCTTTCTTTCTTTCCTTCTTTCGTTCTTTCGTGTTTTTTCTTTCTTTCTTTCTTTCTTTCTTTCTTTCCTTCCTTCCTTCCTTCGTTCCTTTCCATCTTTCTTTCTTTCCTTCTTTCTTCCCTTCTTTTTTCTTTCTTTCTTTCTTTCTTTCTTTCTATATTCTTTCTTTTTTCCTTCTTTTTTCTTTCTTTCCTTCTTTATTTCTTTCTTTTTTCCTTCTTTTCTTCTTTCCTTCCTTCGTTCCTTTCCATCGTTCTTTCTTTCTTTCCTTCTTTCTTTCTTTCTTTCTTTCTTTCTTTCTTTCCTTCCTTCCTTCGTTCCTTCATTTCCCTTTCCATCTTTCTTTCTTTCCTTCTTTCTTTCTTTCTTTTTTCTTTCCTTCCTTCTTTCTTTCTTTCTTTCTTCCTTCCTTCTTTCCTTCCTTTCTATATTCTTTCTTTTTTCCTTCTTTTTTCTTTCTTTGCGTCTTTCTTTCTTTCTTTCCTTCTTTCGTTCTTTCGTGTTTTTTTGTTTCTTTCTTTATTTCTATCGTTCCTTCATTTTCCCTTTCTATCTTTCTTTCTTTTCTTCTTTCTTTCCTTCCCTGCGTCCTTCTTTCTTTCCTTCCCTCTGTCTTTCTTTCTTTCTTTCTTTCTTGTTATGTCATTGACCTTTCATTTTCATTTTCATTCTCCGAATTTCATTTCTCTGCTAGCCTTTTCTTTCTCTCCTTTTTGATTTATATTCAATCAAATCATTTTCTATCAGCATTGTTTCTTCTCCTCTACCTTCGAGATTCTTTCATGTATAAAAAAAAATAAACTTAGAATCTGTATGAACCCCGGCAGTTATTACGTCACCGCAACAATAATTCCCGATATTGATACATGCTCAGATATTCATGCAGGTGTCGAACAATGTGAATGTTATTACTTGTCTTTAAATGTCTATATATTTACATATGAAAGTAAAACTCATCTCATGTTTAGATTAAAAATAAACATACGCTCGTTAGGAAAGAGTTTTTATCACACACACATGCATACATACATATATATATATATATATATATATATATATATATATATAAAGAAATAATCATACATAGAATCAATCAACAATATATATTTCTTTATATATAAAATATATGCTGCCTAATTTAATATGTTTTATATATATATATATATATATATATATATATATATATATATATATACGTGGTGTGTGTGTCAGTTGATATAATATGAAGACGTCATTGGCTTTTCCATACGAGAAAACATGCAGAAATAAAACAAATTGTATCTATGAACACAAAAGGTACCTCGTACATAACAATTAAACAAATGCACTAGTCATACACAGATTTAAATTCGACTGCAATTTTGACCCGATAAATGGCAGACTCATCAAAAGAGAACGTAATTTACTCAGGAGAAAACCTCCTGAGAGTGCTACCATCGAATCTTACCAAATACCAAACTATGTCCTATTTTTTTCCAATCTTACCTTTCCTGAAAGAATTACTACTTTCCAAAGACAACATACAGAATCACCACCAAAAAATCTTTAGAAAAATCAATAGAAAACTATCTTTGAAGATCTACAACACATACGTCCGTATCATACCATAACAATCTGGCCGAAATCTAAACAATATTCATTTCTAAAATAATTCTTGAATGTTACTTACTCTGTTTACTATTTGCCAGACTTTGATTTATGACACTTTGTGTCCTCTACATGCATTGACTGACCTTTCAACTACCAGATGAATATTGATGAACGTTTTCAAATTCATAAGTTTTGATAAATCAATGGCATCCTCAAAATTGTATATAAGCACGTGAAGCATCATAAATCTTACATTGTCTTGATAAAGCCCCTTAGAGGATGAAATGTGTCGGTAAGAATATTAATTTTTCTCTTGTGTTATATAAATTTTGCCCCCTCTACAGATATACTCTATTTGAGAATACACACACACACACACACCGACACACACACACCGACACACACACACCGACACACACACTACGGGCGCACACACACTACACACACACATACACACGCACATATATATATATATATATATATATATATATATATATATATATATATATACAAACGTATCTACTGAGTATTTGCTTATTACTGTAACCTGTTTTTGTCCTGAGTATTATCGTTCATTACCAACCTTCGTGTGATTATTCTATTCATTACTGTTCCATAGATTACAACACTTCCTATATCAAGGGAAGTGTCTCACGAGCTCCCATGTATATGTTTCATGTGCTTTCGTCTTTCATTATTATACTCTGTCCACTATCTCTTTTTGCCTTATCGCACTCCCTCTTCTCAGAATTTCAGTATGTGAGAAATGTCTCTGATAGAATAGAAACCTCTCGCTCTCTCGCTCTCTCTCTCCCCCTCCCCATCCATCTTCGAACATCTTTTTACCGAGACGAGTAAACAGAAACCGTCTATTCATAAGACCTCTTTCCGTCATCAGCATATAGATTTGGAGTCACTGCGTGATTTTTTCTGCGGCATCCCTCTCCCCCGGATTTACATTATTTTACCTTCAAATTGAAAATTATGCTATTGAGGTTCCCTTTCGTGTCAAAACAGGTATGGATGTTTTCAGCCTTTCTTGAAATTCCTGTTGAAACCTCAATATCCTCATATGCTCACACCAGCATGCTCTGCTGCTATTGTCCACATTTTCGGCTATACTAGCGAGACATCTCTGACCCAGCAGATGCTTGGACGTTGCGGCTTGTAATAAATGTCAACGCGTCTCTCTTTGCTGAGAGAACGAGAAACCGTATCGCATATAAAGAAAACTTTGGCTCTTGTGATTACTGGTGGATCTGTAATATTTTATTGAATAAGTGTAACGCTCTTTTCCTCTTCTCTTCAGTCCATTTGATTTCTTAATATCTTCCGCTGATAAAGCTGAATATTTCGCGCGCAAATTCTTCTTAAATTCTACCCTTGACTCATCTGGAGTATCCCTGCCAAACTTCACGCAAAGAACTGAGTCTCTGTTGAGTGATATGCATATATCTTCTATTGTTTCTGCTATCGTCTCTTATCTAGATTCCCTCAAATCATGTTGGTATCCCTGTAATAGTCGTTAAGAAGAGTCCCTCCGAACTGGTTCCTGTTCTCTCTAAACTGTATAAGTGCATCTTGCTTTTCTGCCTGCTAGGAGTCATCATCTCTTGTATCAGTTTTAAGAACCGCCATACCCTTCAAATTATCTGTCTATTTGCTTTCTACTTCGTTTTGGGAAAATCCTAGAGGTTTTAATTAATGCTGAATTGATTAAGCATCACATATAGTGGGGCCTTTTTTTAGACTAGCAATTGTTTCTTCAGGTTAACTGCTGATATACACTGAGGATAATTGCAGAAAGGGTCTATCAAGATTTGGTCATCTCGAAAGATTTTGACAGGTCTTTTCAACAAGCTGAAAGGTTACGATGTATTCGAACAAATTTTGAACCTTGCTATCAAATCGTGAAATGAAAGTAATCTTGAATGGCCACTCTTCCAGTTCTATTCGTACAAATAAAGGTTTTCTTTTGTTTTTAATTGTCATTTATGACCTTCACGATGACTTCAACTTTCAACTTAGTATTTATGATAGTGACACAACCATTTACTACTATATCGATAATAATTCTGATCAGATTGATTATGTCAAAAATGACAGTTGATATCTAAAGCGAAATCACTCTGTTGTTAACTGGGGCAAAGGATGGCTCGTTAACTTTAACGACGCCATAACTAAACTGCTCTCTATTAATTATCGGAGAGATCCCTCTGTGTCTTCCGTCATCATGGCTGATTCCGAACTCCAAGAATGTGTTTCTTTGAGTCTTGGCGGGCTAACATTATATGCTACAGGCATTCGATAGGTCATGGAGGGCCTTAGTTTTTAAATGATATGAGTATACGACGTTTTACCTCTTTTTATTTGTACATATATATATATATATATATATATATATATATATATATATATATATATATATATATAGAGAGAGAGAGAGAGAGAGAGAGAGAGAGCAGGAAAGAATATGTAGGAGAGAGGGAATAGTATTTACCAATTTATTATTACAAATTCCTGAATATTTATATTCAATTCCAGTTAATTACGAAATATTCTTGTTAAATTTAATACATTTTGTAAAAAGCAGTTTCATTAACATTTATTTGACATATGAAGTAAGGTTAATATTGCATGACCTCGGGGGAAAAGGCTAAATGTAATTATGACTTACAAGAATAAATCAAAGCATTTTAACGTCTTTATATTAAAGAAAACTACATTATTTATTAAAGTTTCACAAGGTATTCATTTTAAACCCTATTCGTACCTTTCCGGGTTGAACAGGGACTAATATATGTCATCAAGTCAGTTTCTTTAATAGTTTATTCGGTTTATCTATGAATGAAACCCATTCATCCTTTATTTACCCGAGTTTCTTACTTACGAGAAGTTTTTTTCCTATGATTTCTTATCAAATTTATATATTCTGTCAAAGTTTATATTTAGTCGGGCATTACTTTGTTCATTTCTGTTTACCAGTAAACATGAGTTAAACAGACGTACATTTAATAGCATTTATTGTTCTACGTAACTGAGTAACAATGTCTGTAAAAGCTTTTTGAGTAAATTTTATTGGGAGGTCAATTAGCTACGGGAGAGTTATCACACACCCAGTCTCTTCTCTAGTGTGTATTATTGCATGCCAATGATTATGTTTCTCAGAATATATGATGAGAGAGAGAGAGAGAGAGAGAGAGAAGGGAAACATGTGTTCTTCTCTTTATGTGAAGTGTATTTCATCGTCTACAGTTCCTTGATATTGGTTCACCATTTCGCATATCCATTTACTGTTTTTTTCGGTAGATTTATTCATCAAATAAGAAAAAAATAAGCTTCTTAAAGGTCTAGCAAAAACAACTAGTCCGATGACTTTTATTAATTTGCTCAGTTAACTAGTCTATTTTCACTACATCATGATCTGGAATGTGCAGTAGGTTTTGGTGAAACCTTTCGATGTCAGTATGAATCTTAGAGTTACGGCTATGAGAATGGATCTAATTAATTCTTACAAATACTACCCGCTAGTTCATCTCTTTAACATTCAAATACTTTGTGATTTATATCTATAAGAGTCAGATCAGACAAAAACTACAGGCTGGTCCGAAAGTCTTGTCACTCCTGAATAATATAATATTTCAAATGCCTACATGAAAATGATGGTATTCATACAGGCCTTCTCGAAGATCCGACGGCGTCAATGAAAGTGAATAAACTGGATCCAGTACATGTCTTTTGTATTACTCTTCTTCTATTGTTCTCATTCCTTTTTAATAGGGGGGTGACAAGAGTTTCAGATCATCCTGTACAATATTACTGCCATATTTGAATTGGAGCTTCCCAATCGTCTATTTGTACCCTCGACAGAGTTTAAAAGCGTTTACACGGGTATTATTCAGTTCCACCTTACCACTCCTTTCCCAGAGACGCAACGTCACATACCTGTTGCTATTTCCATGGAAAATGTTCCGATGGTCCACATGTTTTTCTTCCACAAGTTCTGACATTTGCATCTACGACTCGCCATACTTTATATGCAGAGGTGAAACATTCTCA